AGAAGAGAAACCCAATATTTTCTACCCCTCCCAAAACTTTTGTTCATTCTTTTAAACGTTTATATAAACGCAACACAGACTGTGTTGCTGTGTTTATACACACTACACACACACACACACATCAATAATACACATTATTATTGGTGTAGAAGGAAAGTAAAACATCTAACTTTCGGTCCTCCATGGGGAGAACAGAATATTATTCTCCATCTATGTTGAAACACTGAATATGTTTAAAGTTTTATTCTTTCTATTTAACTCCATATTGTTAGTTAATGCCAACATGGCATGGGTATCATCGGATAATCCATAATAGATTAGATTTGTCACCAAAGGGAAACCCCATAAATGAACATGGAGATGTGTTATTGAATTCACAGATAAATAAGTAAAAGTTTTAGTTTTAAATGACTGTATTTCCTGTTTTAGTTGAAGGAGACTTTAGGAGAAACAGCATCATCTCCTGCAGTGCAACCATGCTTTCTGTCACAGAGGAGCTAATGGTAACTACTGTAACTGTGGTAGCAAATAATGCTTTTTTGTCTCTAACAACTTCTACGAATAAAAGACACAGAAGCGGGAAATTCATACTACAGAGAAAAATACGAACTCTGGTGAGAGTTGTATGTCTAATTTAGCCCAACGTTAGCTAGCTCACATTTTATCAGGTAAGTTTCGCCTGTTTGTTTCTAACGTTAGCATTATGCTAACGTTAGCTGGTCCTTAAAAACGTCCACGCATAATTAACATGAACTCTTTAGATAATTTATTATCAGTGTAAAAATATCTTTAAATCAAGGTGTGTTCTTTTAAAGGTCAATTAATATATAAAAAAAATAATAAAAAGGTTAATAACTAATAACTAAGGTTAATGAGGTCAGTTATCATTCCCTATAAATTACATTTACAAAGATTTGTCTGTCCAACCAGCAGTCTAAAGTTAAATGTAAACCCCTTTATAAAGTGTTAATGTACAAACCCCAAACATACTCCGTCCAAAGTTAGAGAAAAGAAGCAACTATTCACTTTACAGAAGCTGGAAATAGAGAATTTGTGGCATTTTCATTTGAAAAAAATGTCTAAAACTATCAATTATTGAAATATTTGCTGATTGGATTTTCTATTGGTCAATTTATTATTTAATAATTTCAGCTCTATTTGCACAGTTTTCCTAAAGACTGAAAGTGATAGGGTATAATGCTGATAGAGCCCCCCATATATCTGCTGCCCGATAATCTGTACTTTTTTGGGGGGGGCGGTATATAATTCAGGAAAAAAATGCTTTTAGTAATATATTGGTGTCCCTGCAAAGTTTATCCAGTAAAATGCGCTGTGATTTACAACACTGTGGCAAGCAGCACAGAGAGAGAAGAAGCAGCTCTCAGCAATGTCAACTAGAAGTGGTTGACAGTATATATTATATTATTTAATGTTAATTGGGTTATTTGTCTAAGAAAGCAGCCACACAGAAAAGATCTATTTTCATTCTAGCTCAAAAATTCACAAAATTTGCTGCCATATCTGTAATCGGTATCTTCTAAAATGGGTATCAATACTGGCCTCAACAGTCTGTAACACTAGTAACTGATATGGTTGTTTCCAACTAAAGGTGATCACTAATCCAGACATCCAGATGTGCAGATTGTGACTTTAAGCAACACATCAGTCAAATTCACTTGATATTACAGTTGTTTCTTTTATGTTGTTTTGTTTGACATCTCAGGGAGGTTCAGTACAGAGGAGGCCAGAACACTCATAGGATCCATTTAAAACATCCAAGTCAGGTAAGTACAGTATACAACCATCTCTTCCTTTTGAGTGTCCTTAGTTTAATCATATTTCTTTCTCCAGTCATCACCCTCATGTTTTCTGTCTGTGTTCATTTACATCAGTGTGGACATGTAGAGGTTGTCGTAGGTTGCAGCCTTGTGTTTTCACTTATGCCTCAGAAATCAATGTGAAATTTTACTCTTTAAGTGTCAGTGACCCCAAGGGGTTAAAAGGAGGGCTCGTCCGGGATTTGAACCCGGGACCTCTCG